CTGTGACCTGTGATTTTTAAGGCAATTATATGATTGGTTTATTCAATGTCAGTGCTCAGTTATCCTTTATATACAACAGCAAAATAATTATATACAAAATGATCCTCACGGGGAGGTAGTCCTACGTGGTCAACTGCACCACGAACGTGATAAATCAACCTTATCCTTAAACTACACCAGGGCAACCCTCACGGTGATCAGGGTAACCCTCACAATAACCAGGTAACCCTCACGGTGACCAGGGTAACCCTCAATGACCAGGTAACCCTCAAGTCCCAATAAATAATCTACCGACGGCTTATAACTGACAAGGCTTGACCGCACAAGCAAATACAATCCTTTCAATTATACAACACAACAGGGTAGACTTATTTATATAACAATAATCTCTACTGCCTTATTTAGCAAAACAGTTCCCAAACTGCAGCAAGGTTTAAGGTGACTTAAATAACCCTCACCCACTTCAAGTTACTATGAAATAACACGGGTAAGTTGATTAAGAAGGCGATTATAACAGTCCTCACCAGACTCTAACGGATATCTGCACCATGCCTGCACTCAGTAAACCTCAACGAGGAAAGCAAGCTCCCAGACCAGGACCGCAACCAACCGTCGCTATGCCAACAAGCATGGAACAACGGCACGTAATCCTTGTAGTCTAAGCTCCGCTAATTCCTCAATTAACTGGTTCACACGGGTTCCCTAACCCTATAATCTACCACTTCTTAAATAAACGAGACTGTCTAGCAATCCCCCAATCTTCAAAATGATGTAAACGGCAGCTCCGGCAGCTGAGAACAAGCACCACACTAACCAATCGCGCCAGGCACACTTGAGGTTGATCCCCTTACGACTCAGAAGACAACATAACTTCGCAGAGCTCTGGTTGGCACGCTGCCATCTTGAGAAGTCCCTGGCAGCCCACGCAGCCAGCGCCCAGACCTAAGGTCACGCGCGCCTCTGATTGGTTGCCGCGCGCATATTAATGCATGATTTACACCTGCCTGAATTATTAATAACCCAGACTTAACATGAGTCTGCGCAGCTACCCTGTTTCGCCACAGTAGCAATCTTTATTTAGTTTTACCTACCACAGATTTGTTTTAAATCTAACTAAATTTCATAAAAATTGAAATGGTGAATTGCCGATGTAATTGATGGTTAATTCAACCAGGATAAATCAATCTTCTGACCCATAATAAGGACGCTAGCGTGCTTGCTAAATTTCATGTACAACATACTGTACAGTGTACAATCTGGCGTTAGTAATGCCTATTTTTATGTCTTCTTTCTGGAACAATGTCGCCGACAGGAAGATCAAATCCTTTACAAATTGTGCCTAAAACTCAACGACTCTAAATATTAATTCCTAAACATGTTAAGTAGCTTTGATGCCGTAATTAATTTGCGTCATGTTAAAAAAATCCATAACGCGTTGTTTTGCTGTTGGGTATTTTCCTTTATCGCGCTGATTCACTGCAAATATTCAGTTACGTGACCAACCGATCAATCCATCGTTTTTCCCCATGTGGGCACAGCCATCTTGTCTTTCGTAACAAGTCACTTGTTCCTGTGTTATTAGGCCTACCTGCGTTATTGCATGGAGGAATTGTAACGATCGAGGCCTGTTAAATCACTGGGTCTAACCTAAGCACAGGATAGGAAACCTGGCGCTTATTAGTGTCACCTTAAAAAGAAATTCGGCCCTGTGAGGAGTCAATTCAGCCATGGCAAACTCCCGTCTCGTTTGCGTATGTACGCACACAGCAAGCACTACAGCGTAAGCGTTGGTCTTAGCTGTACTCGCCAGATTTACTATTCATGACGCCCACTTTTTTTTAAAATCTCAGTTTGCCTCATAAGAGCTAAACATGAATTGATTTTCATTCTTTCACAGTTTCAACAGCTTATTGATACTCTAGTTCAATTGTGAATGTACTAAGCTTGGCAGCGAGTGTGCTTGAAAAAGCGGAAATTACTTTTACGATGTCTAGGATATTTCCATTGGAGTTTTCATTCAAAGTGACATGTGAATTTTGATCTTCTTGTCAGAGCGCTGAATTTCTAGTGACTGGTTGTCCCGTCAAGGGTTGAGTTTTGCTCTAACACCAGTCCCTTGTTTTGTGCGTTCCTGTATTGGCACCTTAAGTGTGTTTTCACTTTAAAAGTGGATTATTTTCTTCAAAGGTTAAAAAAATTCTTAGGATTAATGGAAATTGTAAGAATCCATTAGTTTGAATCGTTAGAATTAAACTAGAATTGGAACTATATGAATTTCCCGAGCTTAAACAAGATTCTGTGCTAATGAAGATTCATTTCTGGGTACAAAGATAGTTTAATCATACCTCACCCACAGATTCTGTATCTTGATTGGCCGAGAGTGTATCATGTGACGCATGCTAGTTTAACCATTTTTGTACCATCACTTCAAAAAGACTATGCACATGCAGCCTCGCTCTGAAAAAGAACTCTACCAGTTGCAACCGAAGAACGTTTTCCGTAGAAACGAAACCATGAATAGTACCCAAGAGTGTAATTCTGATCACAAAGGAAACCCAATGGTTGACTGCTTTATCCCCTGGTATGGTAAAACTAGCCTCCTGAGGTGATCCATGAAGCATCCAAATTCCCGACGCTATACTTTTTTTCAGATATGAGCATGTGAATCGTAACGCAACATAGTCACTTAATAGGACTTTGGCCGGGGCTTTGAGTACGTACTGTCGAGGCATTAAGCTTATAATTTGATGGTCAAAGCGTTGCTCCAACACTGGTCAACATGAGTACATTTCACTTGCCTGTCTGGTTTTGAAAAGATTAGAAGGAAACATCTTTCAGTCAGATACGCAGCTGATATACCCCCACCTGGCTAAATCAAGGTACCAAGGAATACGGGTATTTTGGGCAATGGCAGCTCGTCAAAATAAGGTGATACTCTGTTCCAGTATGATGGTTGTCATTAGCCTGGACCTCATTTCTCTTGGAAGTCGAAGACTTGAAACACAAACAAAAGAGTTTCCATTTGTTCTGTATAAAGGCGCCTTTCCATTTGTAAGGGGGGTGCGCGTTGTGTACACGATGCGTTCATGCGTTTCACTTTCACAGACACGAAAATCGACCCCATTATCGTAACACGTTTGCGTTGCATTCGATCGTCAAACTCCACCCGGGAGCGATTTTGACGGACACGGAACGCTTGGCACAAGTGTTGACGCGCACACGGAAAGGTGCTTTAAATCTAGATATTTTGTCAATTCTGCGTTGCAGCGATGTTAGTTTATCTCATAACGAAGCGCCAGCATTATAAATTAGTAAGTTATGAATGTTTGCCTGTTTTGAGGGAGACATGTGTGGGCGTAAATACCATGGTGAAAGGAGTGTATATCGTCTCCTACCTTTTTACAAACCAGGGGATTGAATCACACCCCCTACTTCCAAACAACCATAATGGACTTAATAACACAACAGGGAGAACAATCAAAACGCCATGAATATGGTAAGTAAGATTCTGCACGAATGTAATTCATATTTCAAGCTGTACACTTGTACCATGAAAATCGTCTCCCGCGTCAGCACCCCCGCGTTTCAACTTTCCATGGCTATAGGCATCGCACGTTTCCTCCAAACGATTGTACTTTCCTGTGTTGTTATTATTGGACGGTAACTACATATCTGATGCATCGTTCTTGACCACACAAACCAAACGTAGGCTGTCATGAGCGGTGTGAGAACGTTTCTTCCCCACTTGTTATTTCCAGATCATGAAACAAAATACATATAGGGATACTGACGAAGTGCTAACAAATGATTATAAAGATGAACAAAGAAATGGACTGGAGCGGGATTTGGACCTGCGATCTCCAGAATACCGTAAGGGTGCTCTACTATATGAGCCATCAATCCCTAACGTTGGTGGCTCTTCCCATTTAGCAATATCTTTGTTCGGGGGGGCGCTAGCCTGAAGCACTATGTATCCACTGTACCATGCTCCATAAAACCGGGGAGGTGGTGAACAGGGATCACTCAAAAAAGATATGACTTTGTTATTTTCAAATTTAAAAAGAGTTGCACAAACAAAAAAGAGGATTCGAACCTGAAAAGGAGGAATGCAAGTCAGGAGTACTCCCAAGCAATTCACACATCCGCTGTCAAGCACCTGTTATTAAATAACCGCCCTGTAAGCCTTGGACAGAATTATGAATAACGCAGAAGCTCAGAGGGGGCCTGGTTTGGCAAGTTTCGGACCTCGTTTGGGAAAACAAAATACGCAACCAGGCAAATCATTCCCCACAATCCCCCATCCTATACTAATTTCCGGCCTAAATTTACGCCACTGAATGCATGGCGTAGAAGTCAGAGAATGACACGCTGTTCCTCCGACAATTATGAACGGTGCCACTGCAGGCATTTGTCAACCCGCTAAACATTAAAATTCAACTCCTGTGGAAGTGTCGAGTGTTTAAAAAATAATTTTGAAGTATAAGGACTTATCAATGATGTCTACGAGGATGTTTTTGAAGGGGGCGCACCTTGTAGTGCAAAATAATCAGGTCGAGCCCATGCTTATAAATACAGTACAGTGGGCAAACTTTTAAGGCAGGTCAATTTATTGTTAACCAGCGTACGTGGTGTGTATCGCGTGCAACTGTTTACAAAAACCATTCACGCTCTTGTGCAGAAGCTAACGATAAACGAAATCAAACGTTGCAGTCTTTGTCCCTAGTTGAAGTTGGGTCGACGTTTTTGAATGCACTCACGGACATACATGCACTTTAAATATGTGAACCTTTTTATCCCACAGTTGTGGTTGCTGCTGTCCTGTGAAAACCTCGAAAAATATGATAGAGAGAGAGACACCAAAGCTTTAAGGATTACAGTTACCCATCTTCGGTAGCCTGGATCACTAATGTGGTGTGATTAATAACGCTGGTGACAGACTTCACGAGTCAAGTCTACATGATGGGTGTAAAGTGCGGGTCAGGTTGTGGTAACGCGGGTTGGTGTGCCGTACTCTGTGTCCATGTCGACTGGCTGCTGTGGACAGGACTCCTCAAAGGTCTAGGAGTGCTGCTGCCTACGCTTCAAGAGCAATTCAAGGCTGACACGTGGATGATCGGTGGATTGATAGCGACCATTACCGGCGCTGGCAGTTTGGCAGGTATACGCTGCGTATTTGCTGTTTTGACAATATTGCTTAATCTGCAAGCCACTGAGGGTGCAGTCATTTCTCTTTAATCATAGCTTACCGGTATTATTAAACGGACCATTCTTTTGGCTATGTCACAAGAGCACAGTTGGCAAAACAATGTCTGGCCCTGAGTACAGAACCAAAAGAAATAATTTGCACATTTTAATAATCTGATGTAACCGTTGAAACCAATTATTTCAACGATTACTAACAGAAAATGTCTCTACTCTAAAACAGGCAGAGCAAATGGTACACTTCGAGGCAGAAATTGCCGCCAACAGCTGAGGATGAATTAATTGAAAAAGTTTGGCTGCCCATACCAAAACATGATCAGTGTTGTTAACAAAAGAAGAGTCTGTAGAAACGGGGGCAGATAAAGAACAGACAGGTGGAAGTTGAAAAGTCGATTGTTCCTTTGTAACTGTAAAAATGCTTTAAATGTGTCAAATGGGAGCTGACGTTTCAAACAAGATGGCGTTTATACCACGAAGATGTTTTGCTGTCCCCACATTGAGGAGGGACGCCGCTGTATATGTAATGTAAATGAACTCGGAATCGGCCCAGATGTTAACCTCTTACTTCCGGGACAGAACTGCAAACCATCCACTTATAAAAGTAAACTTATAAAAAAAAAACCATTGTTGTCTCCGACTGATGTGCAGCTACGTCATGAAAGAAAGAATGAAACAACAATACTGAGCTTATTGCAAGACAGCTATTCAATGGTTTTATGAAAATTTTGTTCATAAACTTAAACGCTCGTGAAGACTGCTAGATTCAAAATGACGGTCCCAATCACGCGCATTCAAAAGATTATTACCAAAATGAAACTGATTTATTTCATCTCAGAAGGCAAAGAAAGAAGTTTATGAATCTAATCGAAATGTCTATCTAGGTATTCCTATCCTCTTTGAAGGTGATAAAAAACGGTTCGTCGAAACAAAAAGAATAAATTAAACCTATGAACAATTGATTGCATGTCAGGTGGTCGTGCGCTGTCTCGAGAGAAAAGTCGAGACACTCGCAATGTTGGAACAGCATCATCCAGTACACAGGAAGGTGTCACACGATGACACCGTAGCTTTCCACCAATAAGCCACCCAAACTCTTGGCAAACAGCCCACACTGTCCCCAAATGTACGAGAAGGCAAGTGTCAATTAAGCTTTCATTAAATCCTATGCAGGTCCGTTATCTAGACTGTTGGAGGTGTTATTTGGTACCCGCATAGTGGTTATAGTCTGCGGATTCCTCTTTGGGGCATCGATCATCGTCTCGTCCTTCTCGACCAGCGCTATCCAGATGACACTTGCCCTATCCTTAATTGCCGGTACGTGCTTTTTTTTTTATTCCAACTTCCAAATCAAGCTGATCTGTCACTGTCAGTAGCTCCCTTTTCAATGATGTATTGAAAAGTGGCTTCAATGGTTTCAACTATTTTCTTCACGAGGCGTAACCCCCTTTTCGTCATGACTGGTTTACAAGAAGTTTGAACGCGGTGTCGTGAGGTAACATGTACTTCCTCGTGTGCAGGGCAAGTTTGGGAGTACGTGGGGTAGAGTTCGACTTCTTGTCAGTTGACATTAACAATTTGCACACCGAATACAGTTACGCTCGACCGTTCTCAGGCGAACAGCGAGTCTCAGCGTTGGTAGCATTTTACTGTTCGCTGTAACTCTTGCAGCAACATACCAAATGACACCGCATGCATTGCATTTCATGAAAATGGTTCCGTTCATCCTGCACCCGATCCGACTACCCACGGCTACCTACTTATAGGTAGGGTTGAACACCAAATACGCCATGCTTTGAGTAGGTCGGTATCATAGGATCGTGGCATGGACTACACGTTCGCCACACTTGTAAGCTGGACCAGTTTTAGCTTGTGCATTGCAGTGTATCTCTGTTGTGTGGCAAGTGGGGGCGCTTTTCATGCCATGGACTACACGTTCGCCACACTTGTAAGCTGGACCAGTTTTAGCTTGTGCATTGCAGTGTATCTCTGTTGTGTGGCAAGTGGGGGCGCTTTTCATGCCATGCTTACAAGTGTGGCGAACGTAGTCCTACTATGATCGTATGATACCGTACCAACCTGTTATTTAAAAAAATGGATTTGCGCCGGGGAGATGTAAATTAATTTTGGATTTGCCCTGCCCGACGTGAATTTAATACTGTATACTCAGTGTGCCCCTGAAAGCTTGTCAAAAAACCCACAAGCGTACTTGGGTTGGATTCGAACCTACGACCTCCTGCTTACTAGTGCGGATGTCTTAACCACTCAACCACCGAGCCTGCCGTTGTCGGCTGGCTGGTTCGAATCGTGTTTTTTTTTTTACAAGCTTTCGGGGGCACACTGAGTATACAGTGTTAAATACACGTCGGGCAGGGCAAATCCAAAATGAATTTCATTCTATTTTCATTTCATTTCATATTGGTTTATTAAAATCCATTTTCGCAGTTAAAAAACTGAATTATAATGGATTTAATAATCAAATAATAAAAAAGACTAAGCAATTAAAATAAGAATTTAAAGATATCAACCTGCCTATAGCATGGCGTATTTGGTGTGCAAGCCGTACTTATAAGTAATGTTGGGTAATCGGATCGGGTGCGTACTGATCATTGAAATCGGTTGATAACTGGCTGTTGTGATCTTGCCGCAAGGCCCGGTTCCAAAATGCTCAAATAGATGTTCCCAATCATCCATCTTTTGGGCGATGTTGGTCCAAGTATATTGACTACGATTTTAAGTATAATAACTGTGGTCATTGCTCAAACTTGCCTGACACGCTAACGACAACTAACGGTAGTGACCCCCCCTAAAAAACCTCTTTAGCGCGAGGGCTTCCTTCGACAGCGTTTTTGACCTTCGAACGGACTCATGAAATTATGTATGCCTCTTTTTAAATGTTTCACTGCAGGGCCTGGATTAATGATCACCAATGTTTTATCGCGAGCCATGACGGGTCGTTATTTCACCACAAACTACGCTACGGTGAATGGCATTGCGACCTCAGGACACTCTGTGGGCTTGATCGCCATTGCTCCGTTGACTCAAGTGCTTTTAGACACCTACGGTTGGCGAGGTGCCATGCTACTGCTTGGGGCTATCAGCACGCATCTTGGTGTGTGTGGCCTCCTGCTAAGAACTCCACCACCATCAGCAGAGGGGCGGGATGACTACCTACCAATCAACTCGAGTGAAGAGGAGCCATCGGCAGACGAATCAAGAAGTCTTAAGGCTCAGAAGGAATCCAGATTCCGTATACTGAAGAATGCCGTGAAGGCTCAGGCGAATCGTTTAGGATGCACGGTATGTAACTTCTCCACATTCTGGATAGCGACCCTCGTTAACGCCGGCCACTTGTTCGTTGGCAGCCTGTGGATGATATACTTAGTCGCTTACGCCGAGTCGAAAGGTTTCTCCGGGTACGAGGCCGTGACATTCACCACGGTCGCGGGGATAGGGAACCTGGTTATCAAGATTCTTTTTGGATTTATGGTGGACCGAGGTTGGCTGAAGCTGCGACAGGCCTTGCTAATTTCAATCGTGAATTGTGCCTTGGCTTTATCCACACTTCCCTTGGTGAACTCCTACTGGTTGATGATGGTCAATGCACTAATATTCAACGGCTTTGTTGGAGTTCAAGGGTCACTCAGTGATATTTACACCCGGGAACTGTTGGGAGTTGAAGACCTGGTGTCCGCTTTCAGTTGGATGGATCTACTGACAGCTTTGATTCAAATTGCCCTTGGATTCTTTCCTGGTAAGAATTACTAAGAGACGTGGTCTTTAACTTCTTGAGAATGGGTCGTATGAATAAAAAGTAGCAATTTTCTTTCGCTACCATTTTTAAAGCATCTACTTGTGTTTGTATGAATAATAACGAAGCAAATGCTTTTCCTTTAGTGCAGTTTCTAAAAAGTATTTACTTTTTACTCTTTAGGCCTAACCTTGTGCTTGACAATAAGCAGTTACTTCATTTTGTATGAATAGAAATGAGTAAGTTCTACAGAATTGGAATATTTATTTGACATTTTTCAAGACTGGGTCAGGGCAAGCTTAAAAACGAGGAGCATTTACTAATGTTCAAAATGGCAGCGTTCATGAATGTCATTCGAAAGGAAAAGCTGTATGCCTTTTAGGAGGGAATCTCAAGAAACCAGATGCAGGCAGTTGTACCGATTTGAGAGTGTCAGAGCAATTGTCTTCATCAAGGTTTTTGCGATCAAAATTACTGCCATCATGCTTATCTGCCATGCTGAGGTCACAAGATACGGCACCGTGTTGCACTGTGTGTGTCTATGCATACAGAAAGCGGAAGCATTATTGTGCAAAACCATTCGGCTGTGCAATTCAGCCACAAGCATAAAACATTTGCTCATATTTATACTAGTAGATGCTGAATAGTAAAAGAAACAATTTTTATTCCTACAAATTCAAGCATATGCTTTTTTTTAATGGATTGACTTCTCAGTAAATGCTTTTGCTGTTTGCGTGAACTTCATAGCATTTGCTAGTCTTTATTCATACGACCCAAAGACTTTAAACATGGCAAAGGGAGCTCTTTTTAGTCGACAGACAAGTTTTGGCGCAATTCTTTGTTGACATGTATTGAAAGGTCGGTATCTTTGTCGTCTGGTCTAAAATTAGTTTGAATTCTGTGAAATTTGGTCTCTTTTACCTCTCGCAGACTCTCTTGTCAGCAATTGACTGGAACAAGTCCATGGCACCTTGGAACAAAATTATTAGGTGTCTCTAGAATGTGTGAATGTGTTTCCAGGTTGGCTTGATCTTGAAGAGAGTCATTACTTCTAGTGCCGGGTTGAAACTGCACTCAACCTCTCTCTGGGTCAGCATGACCAGGACATGTTGGGTTGGTAATTTCCTTGAAAACTGATGACTGGGAAACCTACTTCCAGGTGAAACTTAATCCGGGACGTTGCCTCTAGGTCGGTTTTGGCTGGGTCATATCTGGGTCAAATCTGACCCTTTTCCGGGTCAGATCTGACCGAGAATTTTTAGTGTGTGTAACATGCGCGAGAGATATGTTTCTTTGATATCGAGAAAATGTTCTCCTGCCCTTCCCCGGAAGGATATGCCTCTGGGTAAGCTATCTTACTACATTTCAGGTTGGATATTTGATCAGACTGGAAGCTACGACAAGGCTTTCGTCATCTTGGGACTCATCTCACTTCTGCCGTTGGTGTCGCTGCTCGTGGAAAATTTACTCAACCGAAGGAAGAAATAATGGCATCCATGAATACTCCCGTTACCCACAACATCAGTAAAAGCTCTATGATTTGCTATTTTTAATTAATGCTTGAAACACTACATTCAGGATATACAAAGTGTATTAATGTGCACGGTTTTAATTTTCTTCCACGATTATTTGGAAAAGAAACTACGGAGTGCACTTACGTCTGGACTAGGTGGCAGGAGGTCGTGGGTTCGAATCCCACCAGAGTACGCTTGTGTTTTTTTTCACAAGCCTTCGGGGCATACACTGAGTATACAGTGTTAAAATACACGTCATGCAGGGCAAAAATGCAAAATTTATTTACATCTCCCCTGGTGCAAATCCATCCTTAAAATACTTCAGTTTAGTTACAATAAATGCACATAAGGCTTATTCATTAAAGTAACATCTCCACGGGCTTCTTCAGTTTTCAAAACAGGCTGAAGAGCTTGAATTGTACATTTTCAGTCGTACATATGCTCCTCAGGCAACTAAGACTCTTAATAGCACGATGTGTTTTGTTTACACATTTCAGTTCATCAGATATCAACATTGCTTTGGACTGATAAAAATTTCTATTTCAATATGCTGTTATAATCCCAATAATCATCACACCCTCGCTGTTTCGTCTCGAGCCCGGTCATTCTTATGGGACTTGATGTATGATCTTGTTTGACTCCTTTTTTGCATCGGAGAAAATTCAAGCTTCAGAACATTTAAATAGTTTGTTGAGTTGTTCAGATCTTAACAACAAACAAATTAGAGGTGTTTAATTTTAAAGCCACTGTCTGTTACCATCGCCAGGTTCTTACCCCTTTTAATGCACATCCTTATTTAACTGCATATCACATATTAAAAACTACCAGAATTTAATTTTATACTTGTGGAAAATTAAGAAAAAATAAACATTTCTCCCTACTGAAAGCATACAATGGACCCCGTAGGCTAGCTTGACATCATAACGACGCAGAGATGCGTGTTTGGGGGGACGCAGATTTGTGAAGCAAATTAGAGAGTCTTAAAGATAGCATAAGCAGAATCGAGTCGATCGAAATGGCTGAAAGGGGACCACATATTCGCGAGGTGTAACAGAGGCTTTGCGTAGTAGCCACCTCTTCCACAGGGAAACCTGCATGAAGCCTTTTGAAGGTTAAATTCGAATAAAATCGGGTACACTGAGTTCTTTAAATTCAGGTAAGCATGACAATTTGAATCGTCCATACTGAAAACGTTAACGCTGTTGCTTTACAATACGGAAGCCCGTTAGGGCCATGTGTCTTTCTCTTTCATGGCGGTGCATTTCTCTTTCACAGCGGTGTGTTTCTCTTTCGATGTTGCCTGTAACTCGCGGCCGCGACCTACTTAACTCGCGGCCGCGACTTATTTATGCGCCGTGTCACTGTGATGTCTTTGTTGTAATCGCGTTAATTTCCAAGTGTCTACAAGCTGAGAGCATGGCGCTAGATTAAAGGTCAAATAATGTTTGCTGGTCATTTGTGAATATATTTATGTATCACATATTACATACCAACAGCTTCTCCACATCTTAAAAATATCGGTTCATTTTTGGTGTGAATCTAGGATGCTACTATATTTGCTTTCCATGGTACAAAATCGTACAACATACTACGCGAGTTAATAAGTGGCGGCCGCAAGTTAAGTTAGTCGCGGCCGCAAGTTACTGGCAACAACAAGAGAGAAACACACCGCCGTGAAAGAGAAACGCACCGTGGCCCTAACGAGCCTCCGTATTACAATAAGTCGGGGCCAGCTTTTGCTTACTAACGGTTACATAAGGGTGCACCCTCGTATTTAGGCCAGAAATATGTCCGCCGAGCTCATTATTAAAAGTTATACAATCAAAATATTCTATATTAGAGGGTCCTGAGAGCTATGGAACTGAGGAATTGAAGAAATATGAGACTGAACATCTTGGCCGGACTCCAGGCTTCCAATTCTGAGCAATTTGGATGCAATCGGGTTTGAAATTGGCACTATTTGGGCCATTTTGCCGAGGGATGGTTTTTTAAAATGGCTACTTTTCTGGACAGGGACATTTTCTGCATTTTATGGGTGGTCTGCTTCTGGTGAAAATTTCTCAAAAATTCATTGGTCAACCCCCGAAAATTGAAAGGAAAATGAAAGGGGACATGTGGAGCATCATATTTCTGTGCAGCCTGAACACCTGTGAGAGTTGTGAGTATTTTTAAAATATTTGTGAAGTGTGGGGATTTATCTATAGTGGTGCACCCATAACAGACGCCCTGCACCGACACACTGCTTTCAATAGATAAGAAAGGCACAAAGAAACCAGACACTTGCAGGAAAACAATTGACTGCCAACTCCGGCGGCCGTACCTCGCATTGCATGTATACATGCTCCGTCGGCCAGAGTTTCCGGTACGAGTAAATTGTTTCTCTAAGAGGTTTATGGGTAAATATAATAAAATGGGCGTATCTGAACCGTTGTGCATACCTTTTTCATAAACAGGTTGGGGGCAATCACCATAAATGGTGTGGACGAACGTTTAAGCATAATAGACAACAAAATTGCTCTCTCGCCCAATTGCACGATAGCTCAGTCAGAAGAGCGATTGACGTTAAGCTGCTAAGCAAGGGTTCGAGTCTGTATGCAGTTATTTTTCGGGGGGGGGGTTAGTTGGTAAGAGGATGTTTTATAATAGAACAAAGTCTGAAAATGACCTTCTAGCGTAAGCTTTTAAGTGTCCACTAAATTGATCAAACTTGCAATTGAGCACGCCCATATAATTATGCTAATTACCTCTGACCTCCTAGGAAAAAAATAAATAAAATTACGCAGCCTTTACAGGAGACTTCTGGTTGACCTTTGAAGCGTTGTTCACGTGCGATAAACGACTGCTACCGAAATTTTGGCATTAAATTCTTTATTTTGCATGTTTCCGCGGGAAAAATTGCAAAATGGACACGAACGGATGAGATAGAGAGCATTCACGTGTATTATGATAGTTGGTATATAGAAACTCAACCCAATATTTGTTTCTTTAGGTGCTGCTTCCGACAACTATTACCTGGAAATTGTTTGGCATTTCGAATAGTTTTTATTTACATATCATACGTGCAGCACAATTCAACATACGGAAGACATCAAAACGGAAGTTGTCCGTGCTGGTAAATTCTGCACTTCCGGTTGACGCAGAATCGAGTCCGCTCGCTGGAGTTGGCAGTCCATTTTTCCCCTCCGGGTCTATGAAGGAACCAGTCCATATCGGACTCTGCTGGTCGGTTTGCCATATGATGCAAGATATACGGCTTGAAGGGGCCCCCATTGTGTCTTCTTTTGTGTTGATGGAATCTTTGGAATTCCTTTCTGGGGGGGGGTGCAGTATGCACAATAGTTTTAGGGTATGCAGCTTGTGCATCACATGGGGGGGGGCTTTTACTGAATATCGTGGCGGGTATCCGGTTTTCAATAGCTTGTCTCGAATCACAAGGTAGACCAACAGTGCCTTTAGTCTGGGAATGATTCAAATTATGTTTATGTGCAATCAGGTAAGCTGGTGTACCAGGTTTAATTCAAATTTAACTCGGAAAAAGGCGTATGGGTGCTTGCCCGCGGAACAAAAACGGTGACCTAGGATATGGCAGTTATGCATAGGCAAACAAAACTCTGGTTCATTCTCATGCAGTTGGCCTTCACTTCTTTCTTCAGATAGATATTCACAATACGTTGGACGGTATGCCATAACCTCCCTGTAGAGCCGAGGCAATGCTTGAATACAATACAGTGGCCAAACTATTGCCGGCGGCTCAATTCACTCAATACCGAGGTGGCATGCATTATGTGCTGCTTTTCCTGGTGACTACCCACGCTCTTGTGCAGGGAGCCCGACATAGTGTTGCACAAAATCGAAAGCTAGAGCAATCACAGTACCTCGTCAGGTCACAAACAGTCTTATTGCTCGCCGAACAAGCGTGCAGTAAAGACTATGTAACTTCATGAAACCATCCAGGCTGTTCGGTAGGTAATTACTTCGTTTTTGTTTTGGAACAGGCCTAAAATTAATGTATGTATCAATATACCCAAAAGTAATGTTGCATCATGCTGTAGACAATGCTGTTGTTATTACCTAAGACTGTAATAAGCTTCATTGTTAAACTTTGCAGGTACACTTCAATGCTATACCTTTAAAGGGCCCACGAAAAGCAGTTTTTATCATTGCAATGGGAAGATTATACGTTTAAGAAGATTTCCTGTAAATAATAGTCATTTTAGTAATTTATACGTAAGAGAAAAATAATAATAAAGAGTGTTTGCTAAACAGCCCCGCCCCTGTCAATGTACCTAATTAGCATAGAAATTTTGCATAATTGTGACGTACGTTTATGAAGTCATAGACTAGCTAGCAGCCCCCAATTCACGTTTGCCCACTGTAGCTCAGCGCGTTACAGTATTACAGTACGACTTCGAGATCACCAACTTGCCGATGTGATATTTCAAGAAAATGCCAACCGGGTGTGTTGCTGCAGGTTATGGAAATACTTCTAAAAAGGGCACAAGCATGCATATTTTCCCAAAAGACGTGAAATATCGCAAAATTTAGGCCGCGAAAGTCAAGCTCACACGGGCCAAATGGACTTGACCAACGCCGAGCTGGAAACTCTGCGGCGACCTCTTCAAGCCGGAATGTTTCGAGCCCATTGCAAGCCTGCAAGAATCATTTGGCATGAAGTTCAATGGGCTGCTAAAACCGGATGCAGTGCCCACGATATTCTTACCAATGAGAAGTCAAAAAAAACAAACAAACCAAAAAACAGAAAAACGAAGAGGAGCCTTAGAGGAGCGCGAAGTGAAAAGGCTACGATATTTCCACATATGCCGCCGCGAAGGAAGCCGTGCGTGCTTACTCTGGGTTTCAGACGGCCCAAATGGCACCAGACTACGGTTTGCGGGTTCTTAAACGTACACTACACCGTCTATCGGAGATTTGGGGGGGGGGTGTTTGAAGAACAGTAATTAACAATAATGAAATACATTTTATTCATTTTTTCACCATTTTTACTGTTACTGATATATCCAGCTACAACATAAAGAAGAAAATAGCTGTTCGTTCGGGGAGTCTGCATGGACCCTTTATGTACGCGAAAATGTACGCGACTTCAATGACGGAAGAGACTTTGGCCACTAGAGACCAAAATGTACTCATCCAGTACCCAGTATACGTAATTGCAGCAACTTAACTCGTCTGTGGAATATTGTTCAATAAGATACTGCGTAGACGTATTCAATTTTCAACCGACTGTCGCGTAGTCATCAAGGTAGCGCATTTAATGTTGTCTTATTTGTAAGAAGTCAAGCTCCCTCTTCGAAATATCGCTGCGCATGCGGCTTTCACTACAAATACATCTACGCCCGCGCACTCAACTCTCGTTATCGCCAAATCAACGAGACCCAGCGAAAATGTTCGTTACATCCAAAATTCGGTAAATACGTGCACTCAGCATAGAGCTAGCAATTTGTAAAACGCACTTCTTCCAGTGATGGTATATGGTTTTAGCTCCATTCTTACTAAGTGTTCTGACAATTTAAGAACCAAACAGTTTTTGTCCAATTTGTTTAATTTTTAGACTATTCGAAATTTCTAGTTGTAGTAAACACTACCCTATACATGACCACTGCGCGTGCCGTGCATTGGACGGAATTACTGAAGTCATACTGTTGACAGTTAAGCCTGTTTTTCACATCGACGTAAGAAACGCAGAGAGCAACGCAATCAAGATGCAAACTGCCACGCAGACATATGGAAACGTGCCAAACAGAGGCGTAGCCTACAAGGCAGGCGAACGCAAACCAGCCCGTGAACGATCGGCAACTTCGCGGCCTGTCTGTGCCGAGTAGCCGTGTATTCCCATCAAACCCGCATGCTGGCATGACCGGCGTGCAACGATGTCCCCCTTGCTTCCTCCAATTTTGCCCATTTTCTCATTAATGCTGAAATATATTACACCCCACTGATGAACTAAATGGCCGACCGTCAATGAAACTGGTCAGGAGTAGAGATTTAGCATCCTGGGGCGGTACAATAAATCCAAATGCACATTTCTTGCAAAATTCGCGGAATTTCAGACGCCATTCTGTTTCAATTTTTCGGTGGAAGAGCGTCATGCACCGGTCTTCTCCATTCGTATTTGTGTCTTCATGTCTTGTGGTCCGTTTGCATTACAAACGACCATATGAAAACCAGGCTTTAATTACTCAGATGATGGTCATTAATCCAGATGTCGTATGAACCTTTTATTCAACAGTTCTGGTTGTTGCTGTCCTCTGAGAACCTCGCAAAAATTGATACCTCCAGAACGAAATAAAGTAGATAGAGGCATTGCAACGCTTTTGATTTCGGGCTTGCAATACCCATCTTCGGTGGCCTGGATCACTAGTGTGGTAACCATCCTTATAAACGCTGGTGCCACGCTTCATGCTTCAAGTCTTTATGATGAGTGCTCAGTGGGGCTCTGGTAGTGGTAATGCAGCTTGGTATGCCGTCCTCTGTGTCCACGTCAATTGGCTGCTATGGACAGGACTTCTCAAAAGTCTTGGGGTGCTGCTGCCGACTCTTCAAGAACAATTCACGGCTGACACGTGGATGATTGGTGGATTGATAGCGACCATTTCTGGCGCCGGGAGTTTGGCAGGTAAACGCTGTGTATTTGCCGTTTTTGATACAATTGCTTAACGCCATGGACGTCATTGACTTTGTGCAGGGTTTTAAATTGCAAGCAACTGAGGGCGCTATCATTTCACTTTAATTAGAGCCTATAAAACAGAATCCTTACGGTACGGCACAAGTGCGCACTTGGCAAAACAACTTGCCATGAGAAAAAGAAACCAAAATAATAATTTGCAGATTAAAAAACCGGACGTAAACGTTGAAACATTTTGTCAAACATACTTTTAACAAATACTGAATGACACCTATTCTAACATAGACGGGGCAAATGGTGCATGTTGAGGAAGAACTTGCTGCCACAAAGGATAACTTATTTGAACATCTTGGATGCTTATGTAAGGTTTTCCCCGGACAATTTCGGAAAATGTGCGAATTAATTTTTAAAATTAATTCAATTTGGCGTAGATTTTGTAAAAGACTTAAACCTGGTTTAATTTTTGCAATAACTAGCATTTGACTTCGTTTGCGTCCTTCAAATAAATGAATGTCCATTACGTATCATTGAGAGAGGTTGCAAATAGGTGAATGAGGGATTTATGATTGACGTATTTCTTGCCAATTACAACCAACTGTGAATTCTTCTTAGCTAAAAATCTGTCTTTTACTGTGACTCTTGGGAAGTGTTTATTTTTACATGCGTTCAATTTGATTAGAACAAACAAGGTTACATGAATCATGAAATCACTTTAATGATAAATATCATGTTATTCGTGCATGTTTATTGTGCATTTGCTATAAAACTGTAAATACACATGACGTTAAGGTTTTAATGATTGAAACGCAGCACAAGAATGAAGATTCCCTCATTACCTGTGTTTACAGGCTTCCTACAATAGTCAAATGCTTCTAGAGACAACATGAATGGTTTATTCCAATCATGAATATTCAAACATTAATCATAATAACAAAACACCCCCAAGAAAGTAACTTCTGTTAGCACACAAACGAATTCTAATTCTTAACCAGGCGTAAGTTCAATAACACTTCTTGAAATTAGGATAAATGCAGAGGTGCATTCGATTTCGCACAAAAATGAATGTAAACCAGTGCAACATCGAGAAAATGAACGCTGACTTTATACGCCTGAATGAAACCTCATTGAAATAGAATTTTACTTTTTTAAAATAGAAACGGGGATTTGAATGCTCGTTCCATTTCGCTCAGAAGCCAATGCTGCTATTATTTATTCATCTACACACTTTCGAAGTTGGCTGGAAAAAGCTATACATAGGTATTTACAAAAAAGTGGTCAATGTATGTAAACCGAAGAAAGGTCTGTAGATGTCCGACACGAGGTGTAATACAGGGGTATATTAACGACAGACAGGCCAAAGTTGGAAAGTCGATTGTTCTTTCGTAAAATGCTTCAAATACCTTTAATCAAGATGGCTTTTATGTCTTGCCTACCCTACGAATAAGGCTCAATAACGACGCTGTATGTACGTGTAAATGAAATGAACGTGGAATAGGGCCAGATGCAAACCTGTTGCTTTCAGGAGAGAAAAGAAAACTATACACTGCTTAGCATATTTAACTATCTCTCTTTGGTGTTGAAATTTAACCGAGTTGTGTTCATTTGGCACCATACGCCGTTGAATTTGCAACGACTAGTGTTCTGTGTGGTACACACGCCAATTATGCATAATTAAGCAGTGAAATAAGGCATCGTGGAGTGTAAAATTTCACATATATCCCAGCACGTTGTGGCACTGAGTATTTTCCAAGTTAGTGAAATTGTCAGAATTTTCTCAGAGGGTGGCAAAAATTACTTCCGTGTTTTACTTTTTAATTAGATAAGCACAAAAAATAAACGCCCAAATTTTCTCCAAATGTGCAACTACGCCCCCAATGGAAGAATGAAACAATAATATCAATCAATTTCGAGACAAGTCTACCATAGCTTCAAGAATATTTGATTGAACATAAACAGCAGTGAAGATTTATTGATTCAAAAGGACAGCCCAATCATGCGTATTGGAAGGATTACTCTGAAAATGAAACTGATTCGTGTCATCTCAGAAGGCAAAGAAAGAAGATTATAAACCTGATCAAGATGCATTTCTTTCTTTTTTAAAAGTGACAAAGAAAACTAGTTCGTCGAAACAAAATGAGTAAATTGAAACTGGTGAACAAGGTGTATCACGTGGTCACGATTTTTCTCAAGAATAATCGATACTAGTCCGTATTACGCGTGTAACAGAAATTGTACGTGATTTTGCACTAGAGCCACTCCTGGTTGGACATCTCTGTTTCAGTAGTATGTGGCTGGAACAACATCGTCCAGTAAACGAGGGTGTCACAAGATAGACACTGCAGCTTTCCACAAATAGGCCATAACAACACTTGGCAAACAGCCCACACTGTCTCCTCTTCTACGAGAGGGCAGGTGCCAATTACTATTTCCTTAAATCCTATGCAGGTCCGTTATCCAGACCGTTGGAGGTGTTATTTGGTACCCGCATCGTAGTCACTGTCTGTGGATTCCTCTTGGGGGCGTCTGTCATCGTCTCATCCTTCTCGACCAGCACTTTCCAGATGACACTTGCCCTATCCTTAATCGCTGGTAGGCCTATGTTCTTATTTTTTCCAAATCCAACCCTCGTTATTATGGCATTTTATTCCCACGAGCCAGCCTAGGTCTCACCAGTCTGGGTGAATTATTTACAACGGGGGGGGGGATAAGTCACCGGACCTAAACCTAAACTATCTGCCTTGGCCCTTGAGTCTGACGAGCAATCTAAGGTCCCGGGGTCAGGGGTCATTTTATCGGAAATACCGCCGATTGGTAATTAATCTGGTGACCCGGTACACAAGGTATCTCCGGCAAGATCAAATGAGCTTATTTAATATATTTTTCAGAATCTCATATTACCACTTTATTTGCACAATTGAAATTCACTCATTTTATACAAGAGTTACGAAAGAAAAATAACACAAAAGACAACTACAAAAGAACACATAAATTATCCGCACTCTGCAAAGTGCCGCCAATAATCTGCACTCCACACTCGGGTGACGGCACCCAAGATATTGGCGAATTGCTGGTGCTAATTAACTAACCCAAACTAACGGCTAAGCCGGGCGTCTACCAACTCTCTGGCTGTCCAGTCTTTCACCGCCTTCCTAGACGGTGACCTTTGGACAACCCTCCACAACTCTGCCTTCAACTCTGCCAGTACCTGAATTGCTCGCAGACTCGCAGGTGTAACGCACACAAAAGGAACGGTAACCTTTAAACGAACTCATATCAACATGAAGTTTTGCATGCCTCTTTTTTTCCCCGCAGGGCCTGGATTAGTGATCAGTAATGTTTTGTCGCGAGCCATGACGGGTCGTTATTTCACCGCAAACTACGCTACGGTGAATGGCATTGCGACCTCAGGACACTCTGTGGGCTTGATCGCCATTGCTCCGTTGACTCAAGTGCTTTTAGACACCTACGGTTGGCGAGGTGCCTTGCTACTGCTTGGGGCTATCAGCACGCATCTTGGTGTGTGTGGATTCTTGCTAAAAGAACCGTCACACGAGGAGGCACGGGACAACTACCTACCGATCATCTCCAGTGAAGATGAGCCACTGACAGACACACCAACAAGCTCAAATGCTCAGAGAAAATCCCGACTCGGCATCCTGAAGGACACCGTGAAGGCACAGGGTAATCTTTTCGGCTACATGGTTTGCAGTCGCGCTTCATTTTGGATCGCAACGCTTACTTACGGCGACCCTATGTTCTTGAGTAGCCTGTGGATGATATACTTCGTCTCTTACGCTGAGTCGAAAGGTTTCTCTGGGTACGAGGCCGTGACGTTCACTACGGCCGCGGGGATAGGGAACCTGGTTATCAAGATTCTTATTGGATTTGTGGTGGACCGAGGTTGGCTGAAGCTGCGACTTGGCTTGCTCATTTCAATCATGACTTCAAGCTTGGCACTGTCCACACTTCCTTTGGTGAACTCCTACTGGTTGATGATGGTTAATGCCCTCCTCTTCCATGGCTTCAATGGAGGACTAGCTTCACTTAGTGACATTTACACCCGGGAACTGCTTGGAGCTGAGGAACTGGTATCTGCTTTCAGCTGGATGGATCTTCTGGCAGCATCCATTCAACTTGCTTTCGGATTCTTCCCTGGTAAGACATACTAAAAACTAGATTTTACTTGTTGAGAGTGACTTTAACATGAAAAGAGCCTGGTTATTTTGTCCCATATCACAGCTGGGGGTTTTGCCCCGCTCACTGCTTTTGTTAAAATCTAGTATGATTGTAAAAACACTTACAATGTGAAGTTTGAACTCAAACAACGGTTCAGTTTTGTTGCTGCGGTGATTTGAAGTCCATGGCTACATGCATGCCAGTACGTCTGCGTTTAGCACGGCAATGGATAAAAGCATACATACATTTTTGGCTGACACATCTCGGGAAAAAGCGAGCTGCACGAGAACGACGTATTCAATAGTTGTTAAAATAAAGAGTTACTCCAAAAACACCCAAAGGCTCTACTCCTGCTCTGCGAAGATATTAAAAACCTGTCAGGGGGGTTCCCACCCCGCCTCTTTTATGGCTAAAGACAGCAAAGGAACCGTTTTTTAAAATTCTGCAAACAAGTTATCTTCTCAGGAATTTTTTACACCTGCACTGAAAAGTCGATAGCCCTATCTTCTGCTTTGAAATTGCCTTTGAATACCATGAAATTTGGTCTCTTTCGTATGTATGTGAGTCGAACAGCCTCTCTCTTTGGCATTTTACAGCTTCAATCATGTAGAATTAAAATTGTCAACCTTGCAAAACGTTGGATGCACCTTGGGACAAAATCTTCAAATACAGTCCATATGAACGATAACACGGATTAACACTTCTGCCTGCTTGTGACACATGCGCACTACATATTCATGCTTGGGTTAGAATGGACTGGTGCCTGTCTCTATTATATAGGGACAAGTAGCTAGCTGCAGTCGTGTGGATTAGCCCTGTCAATTTTGATGCTGAATATATAAATGTTTCACATGCCAGTAGCAATGCTTTGACATAAAATACGTCTCAGCGCGAAGGCTGGTTGGTTGGTGTAGGCCTACTCATGGCACACATAGCACTTGCGTGCGCTCTTCGTGCATTAACAGTAGAGGGCGCATGTAGAACAAGAGGGTGCAAATCCACACCCTAGAATAGCATGCTGCAAATTGTTGGTGTTGATAGATCACAAGGAGACGATTACTCTAGCGCGAAGGCGAATAAAACATGTACTTCCTATCCTTGCTTAGCCTCTCTGTTGATCACAGTGTGGGAAATAGTTTTAAAGTATTATCATCGATAAATCATTTTACGGCAATGTATTCAAGTCAGTGGCTTTTTTTTAAATTTTAGATAAACGAAAAATTTATCGTGGAGTTGTTTTCGGTGACGAAAAAGAAAAGGCTTGATTTGTGCATTTAGCGGGCATTGTTTCCTCCTTTACACACACCCGGCAAGATTCTGTCATTTTTTTTACCCACTGCCGGTCCCTACCCTTAATTTCTGTAAGACATCTGTAGACCATGTACGGGACGGGAACCAGTCAAGGATTAGATCAGTAAAGAACCCACAATTTCTGCGACAATTATTTTATTCACGCAATTTTCTGAAAAGCATTGTAATTCTCAGCTAATTGTGGGCGTTCGGAACATGTGACGGGCAGAGTGGGAAGTGTTCGTTTAGTATCTAAAATAATAAGAATAATAATACAAAACTCCCCCCACCGTCTCTCGGAAGAATAGCCTCTAAGTAAGCCATCTTGCCTACTTTTCAGGTTGGATATTTGACCAGACTGGGAGCTACGACAAGGCTTTTGTCATCTTGGGATTCATCTCATTTCTGCCGTTGGGGTCGCTGCTCATGGAAAATTTTATCAACCGAAGGAAAGATTAATGACATCCATGAATAATCAAGGTGTCCTCAACATGAGTCAAGGCTCTGTGATTTTCAATTATTAATGCTTGAGTTATTGCATTAAGGAAGTGTATTTGGTGTCCTGTGCATCTTTTTAACTAAAAAGGATTAAAGGGCTAAGCAGTACAAAACGAAGCTCTATGTTCGAGATGATGAAAGTACGCATGGGGAAATGTAAGCAGAGTGGATAAATGTTGCCACAAACATCAAATAATTTTTTCTACATTTTTCAACCTACTGACAGACGTTGCTCCAGTTTTTCTTGATGTCACCGGTCCTCTTTTTCAACAATACAATAACCGATGATGATAACGCTGAAGGCAAGTTAATTTTTGTACCAATTTAATACGATAAGGCACTTTACCGTTTCGACCAGTTGATTAATCTTGCTCCACCTACACAAAACTATGTCATAGGCCACAAACACTCTACAACTTGCCCAAACGAGCAAAAAGTGGTATTTTACAACTGATTTCGTTCAGAATTCAAGGTTTAAATGATCGATTGTAATATGACATCTGATGAAGTTATCATGTTTTAGATGAATGTTCATACCTACTTTAAGCTCATGCGTTTTACCGCGTTGAGGAAAAGGCAGAGAGATTTATTTCTGTGAAAAAGAGGAGGAGGTAGTCGAGGAAGGAAATGAAATGTATAAATAATAAATCACAACTGTAAATCGAAATATTGTGGCGAAATCGCCAGTATAGTTTAAGTGCTTCCTAAATTCTATCTGACCAAGAATATAAATTGTAATTGATGCTCTATGAATTACTTTATTCAGTTGAGAACTTAGAGATTACTAGGGTAATTGTTTCATTAATGATTGCTTATCTTCCTGGCCTGGTTCTGCAGTGTGTTGCATATTTTACTTCATCCAGTGCAGGAATAGTGTTATTGCAGCGTCATTTCTACCTTTGCCCTGCGTACGATTTTGAAATGAGATTAGAAAGGTTTAGTTGCACGTTCTTCGTGAACGCGAACGTGAAAAAAGTGTGGACTCTTGTGACGTCATTGCTTCGTACGTATTTTTTCTCACGTGCGTGTAGTTGGCACGGACGTCCAATACGTAAAACACGGAAAGTTTACGTTGGATCAAAACGTGAGAATCTGCAACTTTTTCGGAGGGTTTAAGATTATGCGGTCACAGTGAACATTCGCTGATATGAAATGGACATCTTTGGAAAGTGCAAAGGTCATGCAATTGGGATTTTTTCATGCTTGGTTTATGATGACCAATTACATTTCTTTTGAGAGATTTACCTGATGTGACGGATCATTTGTCCTTTTATTCGAGTATTCATGTGAAGATGTACATTTTGTGCGGGACGCGCATCTAAAACTTTCAAACAGGCATTTGACGCCTGCGCACCCGTGCGGATAAAAAAAGGTCGCGTTCAGGTAGTACGTGCATCTAAGGCTGCATCTGAATCTCTTGTCTAGAGCTAGAGTTAGGTTTCACTCCATTGGAAATGCGTAGAGACGCGTAGACAATAGACCTAGCCGTAGCTCTGGAAGCCCATTTCGAACACGGCCTAAACCTCCTTAATAGTACACGCGCATACTGCAGACCTGTCACAAGCAAACGAATGGTTGTTGTTTTATGAACCAACCAGTGTGCTATGCGTTAGATACGCGCATAGAGCTGGGCAAGCAGTACGTTTGCATTGCAGCTATAAAAAGCCTGCCCATGTTCCTTCTCGGGCTGGTTCTCTACTGGAAGCTGCCCGTGCAAGACCAGTCAAGAATTGAAGTATAATACCAGAGAAAAAGCACTGTGAAAGTAATCCTTACGAAAGTAGACGATAATTAGCCATCGAAACTTCAGTAATACAGCTTTGGACAAACAGTGCTGCGCTCGCTACTTAACTTTTAGTTACAAACAAGAGACTAATGCAAGTTTAACCCAAGTTATAGAGCGCACTGTTTACTGGATGTTGATGATTGTAAAAGGACTGCAATAAATCGCACAGTGTTGTTGTCATGGTTTAGAGTAGCCCATTCGCCTCAAGACAATATTTTCTTTCGCTGTCCCCCATTTGAATAAAAATGCCCTTGACGTTCAACTCACGAACTCAGTACCAGTTACGAGCTTCCGGCAGATGCTGAGACTTAAAATTGCTTAAGTGAAGTCCCATTAAAATTGCGGGCACTGAGCCGGAACCGTTACAATAATTTGACAATTTTGATACGTTATAATTAATTTACCAGTGAACGGAGCACCTGCACTGTAAATTAACAACTTATGAAGTGGTCTGTTTGGCTGAAGAATGTAATATTCCTCCGACAATATTATGAACAGCGCCACTGCGGGGCAAGAAAGGACCGAAATGTGATGAACCAAGATTTGACTTAATTATAGTGAAACAATTTCTTTAATGATTTGCTAGCCTTCAGAGGGCACTCTGCCACTTTTATGCTGACGTGCCATTATACAGGGCGTCCCAGAAAAAACCAAACCCTGAGGAAAGGGGTTAATATGCCCAGACCATGAGATATGATTAGAGTGTCCATATTTTTAATATTAACATATTCACAGTTAATTATGCACCGACACCTTTCGCGTGTCGAAGTCCATTCATCCTGCAACTGGTTCCCCTTGGCTGTTTGACAAGTTGCTGTCGAACTGCAGCAACGTTTTCAGGAGTTTGCTCTGTGCGCCTCCTTCCCGAATGACCCTTATTCAAATTAAGGCTTGTCCCATGTTCCCAGTATTTGCGCACATTTTCCCAGATGGTCCACTGTGCCGGAGGGTCCCTATCAGGGAAGGCTTCTCCAAATGCAGCTTAGGTGGCTTGAAAGCTCTTGTTTTGAAGAAATGTCACAACAAACACTCTTTGATCTTTGGTAAGTTGCACCATGTTGCACACTTACTGTCCTGTTTCGAACATTTTTCAACACTTATCTCTGTTCCAAGCACATTTGTTTTCTTATTCAACTGAATGCTACATCTCTAGAATTACTAGACTAGATTCACTCAGAGTATCCCCCCAAAAAGCTTGCCGATGGACCCTCCTCGTGACATCATAACGATCCAGAGATGTGTGTTGCAAAGGGATGCAGACTGACAAAGTACACGGGGGCGGGGTCTGATAGGAACGCAGGCTAAATAGGGGAAAATGACAATGGCTGAACCAAAACCAAATACCTCGGGGGTACAACCGGCAAAGGAAACTGCTTACGTACTTGTACTTTAGAGCTATTGAGGCATTACATTTTCTAGGGAAATATTCGTGGTTCAATGAAGAGGCAAACGGTCACTGTATACCTCCTCTGCCCATTCACAATATTATGACACACAGAGAAAGTTGAATACATGATGGAGAAGTAGCAAAACAGATAGAGGTCACATTTGAACACAGTGGTCTACAACTGTCACTGGCGTACTGTGTGGTTCACCAACGTGACACAGAGTGCGTGTAACTACACAAGAACCCATCCACGTTCTCCTGCCGGAGCCCAGTTCTGATACACAAAATAGAAAACGGAAGCACGAACGGTGTCTCGTCAGGTCGATCGGTTTGAAGGCACCGACTGAAACTCTTACTGCTCGCAAAACTGGTGTGCAGTGAGGACAACTATATTGGTACGTGTAAATAACCTTAACTTGAAACCATCCTGGGGACGGGAGATGACTTGCCCGGCCATGGAAATCTGAAAAGCTGTAGGGAGATTCTGGCATAATAAAGGTGACACTATATTGGCCCAATGTTCATGATACAGGTGTACATCTGCAATATGTATTAAACCCTGCAGAATCCTACATAAAAACATTATATGTATGACTTTTTTTCTGTGCTCCCTTTGTGAGTGCTGTTGAAAAACTTTAGTTCTTTGGAAGTCCGGAAAATTCCTCCACCTAAATTTTGTTTTCACCACAGAAGAGTGGGAGGGGGATGATTCGATAGCCTACCCCTTGGTCAAAATGGAGGGGGGTATTGTTAAACTTACAGGTGTTCTTTATTATTAACTTTTAGCGAAAAAACAGATGCAACTTTAGTGAAATATATGAAAATAAAATTTGGCGATCGACCGAGGGCAAGATCTTACTGATTTTCCACTGTGTGAGGCTGAAATTAATCAACTCATCCTTATAAAGTGTTCCATCTAGGACTAATCATTTTTGTTTTAAAGTCTCAATCATCTCAGGTTTTTCCATTGGCAATAGGATTAGCCTCCCCTTTGAAATATTTCCCCTGGTAACTTATACAAGTATATCTGTCATCGACTCTCGTTATTACAAAATCAGCTTGACTAAGTGAAGCCGCTCATTGTATTTGAAATCAACTGTGTTTGGGATGCAGTGCGCTGGCTTCCTGCCCACTTCACAGCGCTCACAGTACACGGGGGCCGTCCATGAATTACGTACCCACGAAGGGAAGTGGGGGGGGGGTGGTTGGCGCCGTTGCGTACACTTTGCGTGCAGAGGGGGTTCAAGCCAGTGCGTACCGTACACAAACCTTTAATCTTCATCATATCAATACACTTTCTCATACAAATAACTAGCAGAATCCGCTTTTGTGCATCGAAATTCAAACATAGTATTTTCCACTGTTCACCCAACCATTTTATCCTCCCGTGCCAATATCCTTATTTGTATTTGTAAATCGCAACGTTACTCGCAACATTACATGACGTCATCGGCAGAACGCCTACACGTACAGTGTGCATGTAAATGTACATTGCATGATTGCACACTGAACTTTCAATATCGCACGCTTGCAACACATCACGGTGTGTTCGATGTAGCTTAGCCAGAGCCAAACAAAATGCGAGCTAGGCCTGTGTCTTTTAATTTCTACCTTGAACCGAGACAGCAGGGAAACGCAGGATCTTTTTATTCATTTTGGGGTCACGATTAATGGGGTAAACGCTAAATGTATGATGTTTTTGAAATGGCTACGCATTTTTTGTTATTTTAATTCTTTAAAATACTTCACGTGAACTAAATGTTTTCTATTTCTGTTAACCTTTAAGTCTTTACGATGGGGTCTCAGTGCGGCGCCAGTAACGCAGGCTGGTATGCTGTCCTCTGTCTCCACGTCAACTGGCTGCTATTAACAGGACTCCTCAAAGGTCTAGGGGTGCTGCTGCCAACACTTCAAGAGCAATTCACGGCAGACACGTGGGTGATTGGTGGGTTGATAGCGACAATAACTGGGGCTGGCAGCTTTGCAGGTATGCGCTGTGTATTTATTACGTTTTCATTTATTTTATTTTATTCATTTATAGGTTTACTATTATTCAACATGCCGGTAGTATTAAAAACTAAAAGGCATGTGTGTAATAACAAAATACACTCACCAGAAGCTAAAACTGATTAAAATGGGGGTAGGCCTAGTAAGTCAAACATTCAGACCTCAGAGCATTTAAAACAAGTAACAAATTACAAGACTGTGAAATCAGAACGCATTATAAAATGGCAGATAATGACGGGGTTGTGGATTTTCTAAGTATATCAGTGCGGTAGAAAGGCAAAACTATTTGGGATATGTCTTTTGTCCGACTCGAACAGAGGTAGCATATTTCTAATTCTAGATGTCTTCAAGAACTTAACACTGAACTGTCTAAATAAATAGTTTTGTTTACCTTGAAGTGAGGGAGCCTCAGTACTTCTAATGCAGCTGAGTAATGTATATAATCTTGATTACGGAGCGTCAAAAGTGGACAACCCCATTTTCTCTTTTTCTGCTAGCAGATTTTCGGGATATTGGACTTTGCTTAAAGTATTTTCAAAACACGCAATTTTCCCCTGGCAAAAATTTTGATTTTTACTTTAACAACTCTCGTGGCGCATCAAAAGTGGACAACACAAAAAATTAAAATTTCCACTAGCAAGTCTAATTTGATGCTCATATGGAACGTCAAAAGTGGACAACCCCATTTTCTGTTTCTTGCTTGTAGATCTTTGGGTTTTTTGAATTTGTGTAAAGCGTTTTCAAAAATTATATTTTCTGCTAGCAAAAATTGGGATTTTACTCTAACAAGTCTCGTGGCACGTCAAAAGTGGACAACTAAAAACTTCAAACTTCCACTAGAAAATTTTATTTGATGCTGCAAAGAGCACAACCCCATTTTCTCTAAATAGATTATAGGGTTTTTTGAAACTACACCATCCCTTTTCAAAAAACCCAATTTTTATTTGCGAGCAGAAATTTGGATTTTACTTTGGGGGTGGTCCAAAAGTGGACATGTTGAAAATTAAAAGGACAATTTTCTCCCAATGAGTTAAAATGGAAGGTCTTAGGAAGATTGGCATCACGCGTTCCCAAAGCAAAATGTGAACGAAAGTTGCAAAGCGGCTACCAGAGTGACGGTCATTTGAAGTACCGCAAACGTGCAGAGCCAGCCCACTTTATTGACCCGCCGTCTGTTGACGGGCATCGGTCGCCATTTGGACATTCCCTTGCCCTGGTTGGCCTTTTCCTTGCAACTTGTAGTTCCTTTTAGCTGATTAGCAAATAAAATTTTCTAGTGGAAGTTTGAAGTTTTTAGTTGTCCACTTTTTGACGCGCTACGAAGACTTCTTAAAGTAAAATCCAAATTTCTACCAGCGGAAAATTGAGTTTCTTTAAAAATGCTTTTGGCAAAGTCCAAAATCCTCAAACTCTACAAGCAGACAATGAGAAATTGGCTCACGGTCCACTGAGCACCACGCAGACAGAATTTCTATCTATTAACATTGATCACTTTATTAAATTGCAAAACAAACTGAAGGATAAGAATTGTCCAACATCACAAGTACCGACTTCAGCCTGGCTGGGGATGGTGGGTCCAATTTGCTTCAGTTCAATTGAATTCAGTGTGAAACAATTGCACGGACTTTCACGTCTTATAAATGAAATTTTCATGAGCTGACATTTGGAGGGTTTTGGAAGTACATCATTACTTTTACACCAAATGGGAAGCCTATCCAAATCGGTTTGCAGTTAAGTCATCGACATGTATACATCGTCTGCATCTCCCCATGGCTGCATCATATTGGCCCAAGCTTGGTGCCCTGGAGAACACCACAGCCGATATTTGCAAGAGAAGAAATATGACACTTGATATTCTGAGTGTGACAAATAAGAAAACTACAAATTATGGGAATAACACGTCTCATACCCAAAGCAATAAGCTTACGAATGAGTGTTATGGCTGACTAGATCGAATGCTTTCTTGCTCAGTTGCAAAAAAATAAGCATAGTAATTAGGTTTATCCAAACCTTCCAGAATCAAATATAAAACATCAACAAGATAAGGAATAGTAGGGCTTACCTTTATATCCCAATACTGTTTGACATCCAATTTGTCAGAAATGTTGTCCAAAATCCACTCTACAGTACATGATTCAAGAATTCGAAGCGGTCTAAGTTGATCAAATGTTGTAACGTTCCTCTCTTTAGGAATGGGGACAATGGTGGCCGTTTTCCATGCAGATGGAGAATAACCGTTGATAATAAGACAATTGTCAAGAATATTAGTTAGGGGCCTTGCTAATTCCGGAGCAAACGCAAGTAATCTTGAAGGTAAGTCCGAAGGGTGAATTGCTTTCTTTGTGTTCAGACTATTGAGAGACTTCAGGGCTTGACCGAATCAGCTGGCAAGTACGCTGACCACTCGTCAGTTGCTAACGGAGGAAGCTGACTGCAAATATTGGCAAAATGTACATGTACATTGGTGGCCTCTGCTGTCTCCTTGCAACCTTGGGTTTCAGGTGACAGACATTTTAGATCTGATTGTGTCAATTTGATGGTTGGCAGCTCTTCAGGTCACTGATAGATCTTTAAAAAAAAAAATTCTGATTTAGCCTGTTAAATTAGAATCTGAATTAGGGAATAGGGAATGCCACCGTACGACGTTCATTTGAAGCAAGATATGGGACGGAGAGAACCGCCGCCTTTGTGTTGGTCATTGTTTGATCGGAATCTCAGGAATTCTCAACAGACTTCTGGGGGATGTGTTAGGTAACAATAGTCTAGAGTGTGTATAGGGATTGGACAGGTAAGGGGGTACCCCTCCGTCCCATATATTGCCTGGAATAACGACGTTTTTCAGAGTTTTTGTCGGCGTACAATCATTTGTTTGATTTTTGTGTCACCTAAAGTTCGTCCTTAACGTACGTAAAAAAGGTAGTTTACAAACACTTTTCGTTTGTCTAGTTATGCCAATTTTGGAATATTGGTGTACTGTATGGAGAGGAAGGTTCATGTCGCATGACACAACTCTCAACAAATGTCTAAAAAGAGCTGCAAGGGTAATCCTTAAATGTACCCCCCCCCATCCCTTCAGCAGAAATGTTTGCTACTCTTAACTGGGTCCTATTTTCTGAACGAGTCATATCTAAAAAGGCCATTCTTTTTTTAAATACCTAAACGAAATGACGCCGCGGTATATGACCCTGCGATGCGTTTAAATGTTTTTAACTTAGCTCTCGCGTACTGCTCCCCAGCATTATTTCTTGCGGTTTCCGAGCCCGTACTCCTTTCTAAGGGCATTTAAATACTTCAGTGGGTGCCCTCGAGGCCTTTTGCCTCTACAGCTAGTAGTAAAACCCGCAGAAAATAGGTTATAGTACCATTGGGGCCCTTGTCTCTGTATTTTAGAGGGTAAGTTGTCACTGATAAGAAGCTTTCTTTGGCTGGCCAAGGCACCGTCTGTGTAAATGATCTCTTGTATAAACACGTGGGGCATTCAACACGCAGTCCTATGGGACTTGCATAGAGGCTGGCTGGAATTTCATTTATTTTCTGGCTAGGGGAAGCCCCGACTTATAAGTGACTAAACCGGGCTTTTTAGCATGAACAGAGGTAGGATATGATAAGTGGTGGTTGCATTTGGATGTAATTTGTTTTTAATTAACGAATGTGACCGATTCAGAAGAGGCCACGCCCTCTGACCAGAGATGATGGACCTCTTTACTGCAGTCACACTAAATCATTAAACAAAGTTGTCAACTAGCGAAACACCGAAAGTCCCCTTAACCAAAAAGAAATGCTACGTGCAAAGTTTTACTGTGAGTGGTGCTAAAATATGGAATAACCAACCTGAATAACTTCAAATGATAGAGTCCTTAGCAACCTTCAAATTAGAACTTTGCCATTCAGTTTACCGGCGAAAATTGACTTCAGAAGTTGATCTTCGGAGTCATGGAACTAGGTTGCCAACATACTTACAAAGTGTACTGGAGCCAAATGGGAATTTCTCCGTTCTTCGCAATAGGTTTCTTCATTTTGATAACGTGATCAGTAATTCATTTGAGTTTTACTGTGTAGAAAATGAGTTAATTTATTTCATTTTACCAGTGTCATGTTCCTTTTCTTCTTCTATGACGTAAATATATGTTATTTTAATCATTTAATCATGTTCTTTGTATTTCAAACAAAGTAATAATCTTGTGATGTGAGTTTACCATTAATTAATTGTTTGCAATATGCAGGGCCCTAATGGAAACCAGTTTTCAACTCTTTGGGCATACCCTGTGTAATGAAATGGAATAAAATAAATCAATCCCTGTTGTGTTGAATTTGCACAGCACAGTGTTGTGCTAACCTAGCTTTTGGTGCCTTGGAATAGGTTCGTCCAGTACACAAAGATTTCACACGATGAACATTGCAGATTTTCACAAGAAGCTATCCAGACTCTTGGCAAACCGCCCACACTGTCTCCACGCCTACGAAATGGCTGGTGCAAATTAAGCTGTCATTAAACCCTGTGCAGGTCCGTTATCCAAGCCATTGGAAATGTTGTTTGGTACCCGCATCGTTGTCACAGTCTGCGGATTCCTCTTAGGGGCGTCTATAATCGTCTCGTCCTTCTCGACCAGCGCTGTCCAGATGGCACTTGCCCTGTCCTTAATCTCTGGTAAGTGCTTCGTTTCTAATTCTGAACTTCGTTATCAGACATGTCAGTCACAATCCGTTACTGAATTGAAGATGGAGTATCGATGAACTATGGCATCAAAGGTTTTAGCAGGTTAGCTAAGATTTATGCCAGTGGGCTACCAAAAATGCTTTGCGGCACTTGGCCTTGAGTGTTTTTCGAAATACCTTTACCTTTTTTAAGCTCTTGCATAGGGCAGTACGTGTAAATGAACAAGCAAGGAGTTGTGTAACAGCCTGATTTTCTCAGAGTTGTTTTTATCTTCAGGTCCTTGTTTGATGATCGCCAGTATTTTATCGAGAGCCATGACAGGTCGTTATTTCACCACAAATTACGCTACGGTGAATGCCATTGCGACTTCAGGACACTCTGTGGGCTTGATCGCCATTGCTCCGTTGACTCAAGTGCTTTTAGACACCTACGGCTGGCGAGGTGCCTTGCTACTGCTTGGAGCCATGAGCATGCTTCTTGGTGTGTGTGGCTTCCTTCTAAGACCTCCACCGCCATCAGCAGAAGGGCGGGAAGACTACCTACCAATCATCACCAGTGAAGAGGAGCCATCGGCATATGGACCAAAAAGCCCTAATACTCAGAAAAGATCCCGATTCAGCATCCTGAAGGACGCTGTGAAGGCTCAACGGAATCGTTTTGGCTGCACGGTTTGCAGCCGCGCCGCATTCTGGATAGCGGCGCTTCTCTACTGTGGCTATGCTCTCGTCGGTGGTCTCTGGCTGATATACTTCGTTGCTTATGCCGAGTCGAAGGGCTTCTCTGGGCCCGAGGCCGTGACGTTCACCACTGCCGCGGGGATAGGGAACCTGGTTATCAAGATTCTTGTTGGGATTGTGGTGGACCGATGTTGGTTGAAGCTACGATTGACCTTGCTAGTTTCAATCACGAATTGCAGCTTGGCTTTATTCACACTTCCCTGGATGAACTCCTACTGGTTAATGCTTATCAACGCCATCATCTTCAACGGCTTCATTGGAGTGCAAGCATCACTTAGTGACATTTACACCCGGGAACTGCTGGGAGCTGAAGACCTGGTACCTGCATTCAGCTCGATGGGTCTCATATCGGCTACCATTCATATCACTTTTGGATTCTTCCCTGGTAAGAGAGAGAGAAAAAAAGAATACTCACGTGTGTTTATTAGCCTGGGAGAGTGAGTTAATAAAATAGCAAAGGACCCTGTTTTACACAAACAGTTTAATTTTTCGCACTATTCTCTGTGTAACAGCACTGAAAAGTGGTTAGCTTCGTTCTGAGGAATTCTGTGAAATTTCGTCTCTTTGTTTTTTGGATAGATCTTTTTTGTCAACACGTGACGTAAATTGTTAACTGCCTTATAAATTGTTTACTACCCTGCAAAATGTAGAAAAGAAATCTTGGCAACTTGGGCATAATTTGTCTTTTAAAAAGGACTGATGGTCGTGTTACATTGACCATGTTTGTGCCGTTTAGATTTGGTTTTAAACACATCCTGGGTATCGTCAAATGGCAGGAGCCAGAGGTATTTAAGCAGTGAAGTTCAGGAAACGCAGCTTTCAAATTGGTGATGAGAAATGCTTGTCTCACCCCCACAGTCATTAAAATAATGAACTGTTTTCTCTGTTTTCTTTTTGTTTATTGACGCATGCACATAAATGGCCAAGCCGACAAATAGCGTATATAAGCCCCCCCCCCTCCCGGCATGCCCGTAGAAAATGTACAGGGGTACAACTAGCCGAAGTTATATTCTGTTAGATTATCTGACTAAGGTGAAACCATCCAATATCTTAATAGTTGTAACGATGACCTAAGTGGATTCTGCATTGTAAAAAAATTATGTCATACTCCTCAGCTTTGAAAAAAAGGAAAATTTCGAAATCTTTTTTGACAAGTACACTTAAAATCCATTTAGACCAGATAGTAAAAGTTGCGGTGATATAAGACGGTTCTCTGAATAAAACAAAATTGAATACTTCTGCAGTACCTGAGAGAAAGGGACGCTGAAATTATTGTGACCTTAATGAGAGTCTCACGCCTTTTTTCGTCATGGTCAGTTATTGGCATGCGTGCATCACTACGACTTACTAGTGAAAGGGTCTATAACATGGGTCAATACTTCGCGTACGATTAGCATGTGCGTAATGAACTATTCATATGCATTATGTAAAACAGTATCAACCCACACTACTTTGGGCGCCTATATACTGTTGCCTTCAAAACTTTGATCGTCACCCTTTTGCAAAAAGAGACACCCAATGAAGGAAAACACGTTTTCGAAACATCGCGATAAACACCAATATTCTTTGAGATGTAAACGTGTGCGTTAAACCAGTGATTAGCATAACGGATGAGAAATGAAGAAATCAGGCAAAGCTAATTAGTAAAGACGCACGTCCATCCGTGAAACTCCACGACTTCTTACATTGATTGCCCTTCTTTTCAAGGTAAAGGGACACGCACGCGCGCAGCTGTTAATGTAAGAAAGTTTTTTATACCAGGGTTATAGATGGCAATTTTTTGTTAGTCGAGAAGAGATCACATGGAATGCCACAAACACGCATTTACTGTGTATTGCGTCTCACGTGGATCTGGATATCAATTAGTGATCCATCGTTGGTTCACTGACACCAGAATTTAAGAGATGGCGCCAACAAGCCTGTAGAGCACTGATTCAGATCGAGATCCGTGTGACATTACCTTGATCTTTCCCGCAGCTGAAAGTGTCAGTTCCACTGCGCTGCGTTGGTGTGATCTTGGGTACAAGGTAGTGCACCTCCGCTAGTATGTATGTGCTGTAGGGGAGAGCGAAGCTTCAGACATTTTCTTGTTTACATTTTCCGTTTGGGGTACTTTCAGTGAAATAATGTCGGCAGTCAGGTTTAAATTTAGGCAGGGTAGGAGGTTTTTCTCAAGTACCAAAAAAGCTATCCAATTTTTTGGTGCCAAACAGCGTCAGCACAAAGAAGAATACGATACATTCTGGGTATATGAGTGTACAGAAATTGGAAATATTACATTCCGCAGTCATGATGGGAAAGACATTTTCAGATCTTACTCACAACATAGCTTTCCAGAGAATTTATGGAAAGAATGTCGATTCAAATAAAATTTCATCAAAACTTTGTGACAGGTATATAAAATCGACATTTATGAATGGGAATAGTAGGAGTTTGGTTAAATTTCACCTTTAGTGATATTTGAGGTAAAATATTGCCCCAAACACAAACAGCTCCCAACGTTATAGTCCTTGCCAGTTTCATACGTATTTTCCCAATGTAAGCGGCGCGAAAACGAATGTTGTTCACGAGTGTTACCTAAACTTCCTCAAGTCCTCGAATTTACCAGTTTTGGTGTGCTGGATTGGTGTCCTTGCTGGGTAGGCCACGCAGTAGATGTTCTTTTAAACAGTTACCAAACGTTTAGTGAAATAATAAACAACATAAACAAGAGATGAATTCGTTTGTTTACAAAATGAACAGTTTTATATAACTGCTTTTGGCCTACATATTGTTTGGCGGTTTTGCTCACTTGTTCATTCCATTGCTGATTTACTCATTCTGTTGTTTATTTGCGCATTTCATTGTTTCAGTGCTTTTTGCTCGTTTTGAGCGAAGAAATGAGCAAAAATTTCTGAAGCAACGTCAATGCAAAAGAAAACAGTAACCCTTGCGGTAGTCCAGTGTAGTTATTTTCACACCATGATGTGACATTCAGGACATATAATTTTTCTGTGAGGAAGGATATGAAAATGAAATGATACTGAAAAGAAAGCCAAGCAGAAATGGGCAAATCAACACCCTTTGTGTTGACTGTAATATGAAATCAATCAATTTGTTTAATGTGCTTGAAGGTAAGTGTGCTTGACTAGCTGTGCAAGGAAGACCTTGATTATTTTTGAAAATTTTTAATTTGTTTTGTTTCAATAAAACATCGAAGGGCCATCAGAATGAGTAGTTGACGCTCTGGTAAACATTTCGTTTGTTTCATTTTGTTCGTTTTTTAAAGAAACCTTCATAAAAGTTTGCAACTGCTATGCCTTTCAAGTGTACTGTCGAACGAGATGAATCATATCATCTTGTTAGCTGAGTTAAGTATGGTATTTGCTTACAGGGGCCTAATGATTCAATAGGGTTGAGATTTTTTAAGGTTGAAAAGAACTCTGCTGGACTTTGAGGCGGTGATCAGACCATATTTTGGACATTGAACCATCCACACACCGGCCACTACGCGCTAAACTTTCCTGATATAGGCTACACATGACTTTCAATTCGATTGAAGTTCTGCATTTCTAATCAGTACGTCAAATAATATCACAGGGTCATTTAGCTCTAAGAGTAATCGAGGTAACAGCTGGATTGAATGTTCGAGGCAGGTGTTGACAAAGGCGCCTTTACGGTTATATCGTGGCTGTGTAGACAGTTTTTACGTTTTACATCGAACCTTTCTTCAGTCTGGCGCATAATTGAGGAATTCCGTACACCCATGATACTTTCTTTGGCTGATGCGTGAAAATTGTGCTGCGTCGGGAATTGTGCATGTACACCAAACGAATGCTGTATGTGTTTACAACCAGAAAACATGTATTTGAAAACACTGCTTGCGAAATTGTAGCTGTCTAACTTGACAGGACTGTAGGCCTACTTTATACCCAGCAAGATATGGGACGCAGGGGTACCCACATGCCCAATCCTTATACACAGTCTAGACTATTGTTACCTAACACACCTCCCCTAGATGTCTGTAAAGAATTCCTGAGATTCCAATCAAACAGCAGAGGTGGCAGCACGTCATTTTTTGCAAGTCCAAGTCAAGTCACAAGTCATTTGGTCACAAGGCAAGTCAAGTCAAGTCACACGTCATTTGGTCTAAACACAAGTCAAGTCACAAGTCTCTTTGTCCAAGTACGAGTAAAGCTGCAGATTATTTTGTCCAGCTCTAATCAGCAAAAAGAACGACGTATCACTTTCGAAGTTACGAGTTATAAAAATATATGCGGCAGGTCAGGTAGCGCCTTACTTGGGTTGGTAAGAAGTCATTTTGTGCAAGTCCAAGTCAAGTCACAAGTCAAAGCTGGTATTTACAAGTCAAGTCACAAGTCACAAAAATAGTGACTCGAGTCCGACTCGAGTCCAAGTCACATGACTCGAGTCAGCAACTCTGTCAAACAGTCACCGACACAAAGGTGTGGGGGTGCTCTCCGTCCCATATCTTGCTTCAAATGGCCTACAGGTCTGAATACTGTTTGTCATTACGTGGGTGACTCAGCGTTGCGACGTCCGTTGACGACACTTTATAAAATCTTAGGTGAGTTATTACCCACGGATATAAATAGATATGACACAACATTTCAAGGGTATCAAGGGAAGCCATGGGTGGATCCTATGTTTAGATGTACATGCAGGCCGTTAATTTTGGCTGCCACTTTGAAAACACAAATAACTCCAAAACTGCGTAGGAAGGGAGCAACATTGAGTTGCATGTTGGCAATACTGGCAAAAGAAAAACCAAACAAACAAACAAACCAAAAAATAGGCTTACATCTCATTATGCTTACAGATACAGCCAGAAATACCCAAGCATCAGCGATGATATTCTGATGTGGACGGACGAGTTCAGAATTTTTCGGCTATTTTCGGAAAGTGTAGTAATTCCTCTGGTTTTGTCACATGGTCATTAGGTGATACGGGACCCTACACGTGAAGCAAGATATGGGACGAAGAGCACCCCTACCACCTTTGTGTTAAGGGGACCGCCCCCTTTATTGTGTCTTCTTTTGTGTTCATGGAATCTTTGGAATTCCTTTCAAATTCCCGAGGAGGGGGTGCAGTACGCACAATAGCCTGAGGGTATACAGTTTGCGCATCACAATGGGGGTCCCCCTTTATCGTGCAGGGTATCATGATTCGGCAAAGAATAGTCGGAATCATTAGGTCTGGTATCCAGACTAAAAAGTTTTGTGTGTACTGGCAAGACAACTTCGCCAAGCGAGGGCCACTTACAACGGCAGGACAACTTTCGATCAAAAATGGTTTACTCCATCATGTTGCAGGGTTGGAGGGTATTTTCCGTTATTTCTTGTTTTCTTTCTCGTGTAATTTTTATCGTATTCTTTTTTTTTGCATGTATTTGTACGGATGCTGTTCTTTGTATTTTTATATTAACCACCCACAAATGAAATTGTACAGCGGCAGGCCTACATTATGTACACAGGTAAAGATATCTAACAATACAAATGATAAGTAAAAATTATTATTTCTTTAATTCAATAACTTACCTGAAATCCAAAACTATACTTAAAATGTTATAATTCTTTGATAACTCGCATTTACTCAAGCCCTCACCGAATAACCAAACATGCCCTACTCTAACTCCGACCCTCCGATTGGTCGAAATCCATCAAGAGAGGGGTTAATTACATGGTCAGACGTTATGCACTAATGCTATTCCCTATCAATGATTCAGCTTAGTTCCATTTGTTCAGCTAGGCACTCAGTGGGTGAAGACAATTTGGGTCCATTAAATGCAATGTGACGCAAACTGTAGTTAACTTTATTCTTCCATGTAACGGTTTCCTGTTCTGACGGGTTAATGAGTTTGTACACCTTCATGGGCAAATGGCATCCAGGGCGCCGCCATGGGTGCTATTTTCTCCCTCAGATGTACAAAACTCCATTTACCCTTACCATTAGCAGGCAACAGTTGTAAAGCGTTCCGTCGTTAACACGACAATCCCACCTGATCTGCCGTTTCCGGAAAATACGTATAGGCCTATGTAATACTCGTAAGGGGGCAGTCAAATTTATTTCTCTCGATGAACGTACAAAACGCAGTCATCGAGATCTTTTCCCTTCAGCAACATTAAAGTGTAATTTTGTAAGTAATGTGAATATTTCTCAAACAACACTCGAACTTTTTTTTTTCCGAAAAAAATTCCCCCAAGTCACTTGACGTTATCCGCCCCTGACTGTGTAACTGATCTTGAACTCTTTCAGGTTGGACATTCGACCAGACTGGAAGCTACGACAGGGCTTTTGTCATCTTGGGATTCCTCTCGCTTCTGCCGTTGGTGTCGCTTCTTATGGAAAATTTACTCAGCCAAAAGAAGGATTATTGACATCTGTGTAATACGGCTGTCCATAGCATGAGTAAAGGCCCATATTCTTAATGCTTGGAAAAGCATTAAGGACATATAAAGTGTATTGGGTGTTCACATGCATGGTTTTGGGTTACTTCCTAGAATACCAGGAAAAGAAACTACAAGGCACGTTTATCCATGAACAAAGCCTGGTTGAATTGGTGGAGAATTCTTAATTTGGTTAAATCTATTGGGAATGGGTATAATAGAAAAAAGCGGGAGAGTATTGAAAATGAAGGTTTCTTTGAAAGTAGGTTATTTCAAGATGTAGGTTTGCGCCGGGGAGACATTAATTTTTCAATTACAAATTTGTCATTACACAGACCTGTACAGCACCTCCGACAGTAAGCAGGAGATTGTGGGTTTGGGTCCCACATGAGTAAGCCTGTGAATGTTTCATTAGCTCTCAGCAAGAACTGAGTATAAGCAGTTTATGTAGATCAATACTGACTCTCATGACGACCGTATAATGTCCTTGTTGGGCTGAACTGCGTTCACAGGTGTCACATCATAGATGTACTCGGTGCTTTAATCACTATCATAACTGTCTGTGTCAGCCATTGCCAGCGAATGAACGTTCTTCTTGCGGCATACCTTGGCGAAGTGATTTTGTTCTCAACATGCCTTACATGTCTGACCATATGCTTGGCACAGTTGTCAGTCCCGTGGATGTGATTAGCCACAAAACGGGTACGTTTTTATGCCTTTTGAGCTTTTGGCCTGCGGGCCCCTTGCTTTTCTGACTGGGCTTTTGTTTTCTGGCTAGCCTTCGTTTTCCTTCGTCTGTGCCTTGCATTTGCTTGATTGGCATTTGTGCCTGGGTCTGGGTCAGCTGTGAAATGCCTTGAGCTGAGACTCAGCTGTTTCCATGCTTTTGCATATGTCTCTGCATGTGGCAATAGTCAGGTTACGCTCTTGAAGAAGACGTTTTCGTATGTTAGAGTCACGAATGTCAAGCACAATATTGTTACGGAGCAGACTGCTCAACATGCAAGGTGTGACCCTGTTCTTGCTCTCGCTTGTTCAACATATGTGTCATTCATTTCTCCGATTGCATATCTGTCGAAAGCTGCGATGATCTTATCCAAATATCTGCTGTCATCGTCGCTGGAGAACGTGAAGCTGTTGTATATCTCTAGTCCTTGTGGCCCGATTGCGTGAAGAAACAAGGTGATGATTTTTTGATGTCATATTTGCCCTTCCCAACTTTACAGCACCACTGTCAGAAAAGAGGCCAGGCCAAAGTGGTGAATATCTCAAATAAAGTTCAAAGCTTTTCTTCGAAAAAAATCCCCCCATCACTTAAGCCCCTGACTATGTAACTGATCTTGCCTACATTTCATCATCTTGGGATTCATCTCGCTTTTGCCATTAGTGTTGCTGCTCTTGGCAAAGCTACTAAGCCGACAGGAGGCTTGACCACACCCGCATCCTCAGGAATTATTTTAGTCTTACTCAGTGTATTTTTATTAGGGTCTGCCTTTGCCCTAATGTTACCTTGATTGTTTATGTATGATTTTAAAGCAGCCGTATAGAGAGAATTATTTTTTCATTCAATTTGTAAGTGAAACGCTGCAGATTATGGTATGCACAAAGAGCCTTGAGCCGGCAGGACCAAAAGAGAGCGTAATTCTCCTTGCAAGGAAGGGTCCTTCACTGCACTTTGTTGGTTCACAAACAACTATGAAGTGCACACGTTACGGTCGCGTCGCCATTGACAACGAACACTATTGACCAACCAGAGGCTTAGCGATTGTGTGTACTTGTGACAGGTACAGGCGGAGCTCTTCTGTGTTTTAACGCAGCCGCAATAAGGTGAAATTTGAGGCTTCAGTCAGCAATTATGATGGTCAGCGAAATTTCAGTGTTTGGAAAGATGATGGTACTTTCCCATTGAGTGACACTTCGTCTCTGGTGACTAGTAATAACTCCTGGTTGGAGTATGTAAAGTCGTGCCTTTTTATGTCCCAAAATATGGATTATGGACGGACATAAGAACAAGACCAATCATTGGGGTTTCGTCACTTCGTATGGGACTCATCAGTTGCGATGTGGGTGACTCCAGGAGCGTAATCGTACGAACTTGCATGTAATTTATTATTGATGTTTCAAGCCAAAAATGGGCAACCGCTTGTGTAGTAGTAGGGAATTAGAACAGCCATTTTATTAAGTTTGGGCAGGTAGGGAGGGCAGTATATTTAGTGTTTCGTCTTCTTCTTCTAGTTGTTCGTAAAAGCCCGAGTCAGTTTCGATTGGATTGGGCTTCGTTATGTTAGACGGTAGTTTAGCTCTTACTAGTCTTTCTCTGATGTTTTGGGCTTTTGGAAGGCAAAGAATGGGGTTTTTTTGAAGGTAGAATTCTCTAAACGAGGTAAGCCAGTGTTTATAACATTTGGGAGAAAAAGGTGAAACATAAGGATGTGCAGGAACCGGGCGCTCTCAACATTAATGACTCGGTGTGGTAAGTGACAGCGTCACCAAGTGATGACACGCCTTTCCCCAATATGCTGTCTCCCTTGCCACTAGCCCGCACACCCCTTGCTCCTTTCACGTAAAATTTCTCCTTTTTAGTAAATGGTCATTGATAAATTGGGAATACGCCATTATATTCGGGGCTCTGACACTGTATGATGAAGTCGGGAAATAGCGTATTTCAGTGAAACATGGTATAGGCCTAAATTTGAATTTTCTTTCAGTTTAGTAAGTCAACCTGTTCAATGAACGCCCTCGTGCGTTCACATTAAGAAAAGTGTATTGGGCCGGTCACCTACTTTAATTTAATCACAGTTTCCGTCGTGGGGACTCCAACGGTGGTTTTATTGATACTTTTGTGTGTATGAATTATACAAATGTGTCTTGATTATAAAATTTGATTCTATAGGTCATTGTGCATGGTGTATTTTGGTTCATAAACTCACAGAATACAAGCACTTGGGAACACATAGATCAGAGTTTCAAATAAATTGGATTTAATCTTTTGAGCAATTGCTGCTCGTGAAGAGCAGTCCTTTGATACTGTTGGTAAAGGATTCACAGTCATTACTTTCACAGTAAAAAAAATAATTTGTCACTATGTTACGGCTGTTTGAATTAATTCTTTTTCATAGCAGTATAGATTGAAGATCTGGATTATTGTAATGATATTGTAGCGTGCCGCCGACCCTCACACTCGCCAGTGGTGTGCCGTCAGACAGACGCTCAGGATTAGGCCCTCCGGACGAA